GAAATGAAATTTTGGTGCTAGCCTAGTACAACCGGTTTAAGCAATCCGATTAAACTACGGTATGAAGGTCGTTGGCCCTTGTTTGTCCTATAGTGTCTCCGGTTTGTAGAGGAAATGACAGGAACTCCATTGGAGAACGGGATAATACTAAGTTCCACTCCCCATGCATGGTCCTCCTCATAGGTAGCTACAATCCGAGAAAAGATTGGAAAATAACATTGTCAATAGACTACATTTTTCTTGAGTGTCACGCAACAGAATTTCTCAAGCAGCGCTCGATAGGATTTATACCTCTTAGTTAGAGATTCGTCGTCAATTTTATTATGGACAGCAAGAAGTTGTAGAAGAAAGTTCTATCTGCGTGATTATTTGGTAAATCACTCAGAACGAGGTTTGACTTTGGACACAGTTCGAGGAACCCCAGTTGTATCCAAACCAAAATTAAAATATTCACCACAGCTTGTCATCTGCCTATTATCTGTTATCTCGACATATGTTACTGGTTAGGGTGCCGGAGCCTATTGCGTGGACAGCCATTACAGCCAGTACCTTAAAAGCTGAAACGTGTAGTAGGCGTAAAGAACAAACTGTCAGGATTTACGGCGAATTAAGCTGAATCTTAATTAATACGAAAAGGTACAACGGTAATTATTTTACTTATTTTTTCAGCAATGGCATACAGCATCACTTAATAAATCCGAATTAAATTACTCACTTTTAGCTATCTAATCTGTACTGCACGGTGGTGTAAGGATACCTGGTTTGATCAAAATGAAAACACAACTAGTCATCGCTCGTGATTAAAACTTACAGGTACCCAGCTTTATGAGGTTGTTTCGCATACCACAGAAAAATTGATTTCAAGGTTCCATGTTTCCATACTCCTTTTTTGCCGTCCACAAATGTGACCAACTAAACACGTTGGTCAGTATCTACGTAGATTTTTATTTGGATAAGAGATATTCACTGGTTGCAACCAACAAACTCTAACTCCTAAGTTGGTAGAAAAAATCGCCTCATTACGAAGTAAGTCTTCATGTAGTTTTGGCACCAAAAAGCCCCGAGCGTACAGGCAATTGGCTCAAGTAGCACAGCATTGCACCTAGAATTTGTATCGGACTTGCTGTAAAATCCAATGGAAATGCTAACCATAACCACGTATAAAAGAGTATTATCTTTTTTCGCCACTTTTCTAAGTGGTTGGAAGGGTTGGATAGTTCTTACAGTTGCAGTTTTATAATTAAAGCCCAATCACCAATTTACTTGCAACTGATGCACCAGCATTTACTCTTCCAGTCATTAATGAGTGAGCGAGCCTGAGACTTTGAAACAGGTTATCCAACAAGCAAACACTACTTTTTATTGAATTAGCTGCGCGGCTTGAGATGTCTCATTTCCTTCTCGGATCGTGGAGAAATAGACAGCCTTCAAAATTTATCAAAGGTGAAGTAGATCGATAACTGAAAAAGAAGCTGCCTGCCACGAAGTACGGATAAATGTACGTTCAATCCAGAGAAAAGGCATCGCTGTTTGTTCCGATTTTTTAAGGAAAGCAGAACAATACCGGGAATAATCTGGTCTATTCATTTCAGATAGCGGCCATTATTGTATTCGGCTCTATATCATCTGGCGGGAAGACAGAAAACCACGTTTGCATCTTCCACGGTGACTGGAGCGCGTGCAGCTATGCGAGCGCAATAGGAATTTTGGCTTTTCTCGGGGCAATCGGTCTACTCGTTGTCGATGGCATGTTCAACTCAATTTCAAACGTGAACAAAAGGAGACAAGTGGTGATTGGAGAGCTCGGTTTCTCAGGTAACGTGTTAACCTAACACTACGCTAGGTTGATGCACAACGTTAAGCTGATGAACCGTACTTGACTTCATCGATTCTATAAGGAAAGTAGTTAAGTTATTTATAGTTCACTAAATTACTCTGCGCAACCTGTCATACCCTTAATTCTAACCTAGATTGCATATAGATAGCTATGGGATTTGCTGAATCACCAGTCTAATCACCTCTGTTTGAAAGAGCCTCATTTTTATACGATTATAAGAAGGGGGAGCTGATTAATTTAGATGGGTAGCGATAAAGTTCATGCAAAATGTCTGGTCATGCATTTTCTTATGAACGACAGCTGACAGTAAAACTTGTCCAAGCGTCGATATTTCTTCCGTGAACCTCAATGGGATCAGACACAGGTTGCCTTTGAGCTCTGAGGACCTAGCTGGATGTAATTAACGCCATCAAATTCAACATTAGTTTATAACTACATGAGATTCACAAGTAGGCATGAGTAATTCTGATCTAGTATTTTGTTGGGATCTATTGTATTAGAGGAGTGTATGGGAGGGAAATACGTTGACGTTTCGAAGCTTTTTTCTCACAATACTTTATGGTCGAAAACCTGCGCGTCCTCCATCCCTTAATCATCGGTGATAACGATAAAAACCTAAATTGCGTGGCGAACTACACTTAGCAAAGATTTTCCGCAGTTTCGAATAATGGATTTGAAACTTCTTCAATTGTTTTTTTGCTTCGTCATCATACCCTTTCTGCCCAAAACATTCTTATATTTATTTTCATAGGTTTATGGACTTTTCTGTGGTTTGTCAGCTTCTGTCTACTAACCAACAAGTGGACAACTACGGAGGATAAATGGTTACACGCGCATAACGTTCAGGGCTGGCAAGAAAACAACGCTCGCGCAGCAATCGTTTTCTCTTTAGTCTCTACTGGACTTTGGGTGAGTCAAGTCCAAATGAGCGGTCATTGTCTACAGATATCCATTTCCATGTGTGGTGATTCTCCTTTAAGAAGAAATTTTCACACAAAATGTCAAATTCCTTCCGCTCATTTTTTCCAGAGCTTAAGAGTGTCCAGATTGATAAAGCAATAATTGCTCTACAGATAATCGAATTGTGCATGTTATGAATTGAGCTATCTGCCGGAGTCCTGCGAGTATGAACTATTGCGTCGAAGTAAATGGGACCAACCTCATTCTTCAAGTGACTAGAGAGATGTAACAAAGCACTAAGAACTGTGATATGTACTACTCACCAAAAGACACTTGATGAATGGGGAGCTCCGTAATTCGTCTAGTCTCACCGGCCCGTACCGCCTTATTATCAGTTAACAACCGGAACACTGAACCATTTTCAATGAGACGGGGAACCCATTTGTTGATTAGATGATTTGTTCGCCCAGCTTGGTGATTAGCTTGCAAACGTCTCGCCACTAAACGAGGCATCTCCTTACCCGCACGCGTCTGTTTAGGATTTGAAGAGTATTTGCTACCTTTTGACGTGATTGGTCTAGAGTCAGCTTTGTCGTGAGTTGTTCGGTTTGTGATTTGTTTTGTATTGTGGTCTACCTTCTTTTACTTGACTGGTTTATCAGTTTATTTGCCTTGTTACGACTGGCTATCATCAATTACCATTGCGTTAAGCTGATTTTCTTGAGTTTGATTGGTTGGTTGCACAGTCCTCTCTCCTTTGTGATGGCTGGTGCCCTTCCGAAACCAGAAAGCAATTGTGGTCGGTTCCGTGGGAGTCACTTGTATTATACCTAACTGGATCACAGTATTTTCTGATGAAATTCGTTCGACCATGGGAGGAAAACGATCATAATTGGCTACCAGACATTCGCATGCCTGAAGTCATCTTCAGGTCGACAACGGCATCGTTGGAACAAATTCAAAACCACTTAGATATTCGGTTTAATGAGAAGTCTATTAAACCGACAACCGCGGAACAATCAACTGAAACTTTCCTTGGTGGGATAATTCTTTTAAAATTGAAAGCACCTGGATAAATGTCACCGGCAGGATTCAGTCTGGTTACATCTGGTTACATCTGTTAACACGAACTTAGTAGGCACATATCTGTTCAACTCTTATTACGACTTAGTCAGCAATCAGCAAGGATAGCACTCATAGGTGGCTTCCAGCTTCTCCAAATATGCTGGAACCTGCCCTTTGCCAGGACAACCCAACGTAAACAGTTTTTCCATGTAGTTACGTGGGAAGAGGTTTCATGTAAAACTTATCGTGTATATCGCAGAAGTATTTTCCCTGACATTTCGTATAACAGAGTTCCTAAGGCTCATCAGTACCTTCACCAGAAACAATGGTGTTTGGCAATACATAATGGTTGTTTTTATCTTGTCAAGTCACGTCGTGCCTAACTGCGGAAAAGTAATCTCGGAAAACCAAATCACCCAGTTTTTGCAGCCTTTCGATGAATTACGAGTAGACATTTCGTCTGAAATGGAATAATTCTTCGGCAAAATATCACAGTACATCGTACTAATCCATGTCAAAAAAAGAGTCATGACAGTTCAGATACCAACGACTTAGAGACGCCCCATATCCTGTAATTGCCATACAAGGACACAACCCGCAGTAGTCTTGCACATGTGATTCTGATACCACAAGTGTTGCACAAGGACGTAGTACCAATCGTTTCGACTTGATTAGCAAGTTGTTTTCTTGGGTCTATTTTTCAGTGTGAGGCATAAGATTTTATCACGTTCTGCTATGCATACTTTCTCTCACCTAAGACTGTTTTCGCCAGGAGGTTACTAGTCGGAACTAACACAAAAGTCAGAGTCCACCTGAAGTCGGTATAAATAAGGTCACTATCCTGTCAGATTTATTGGTTCCGTTTCACCCTGTACGATCTAGCGACTAATGCTGGAGGACCGTACGTTTGGCTTAGATATCATCAAAACGTATGTTGTGACTATGCGCTAGTGCATGGAATGTGATGGCTGAATCTTCCTCTGTAGTTAATGGACGTGGGCAGAATTTTGCAACGAATCACGTGTGCGCCGTTTGCCATCTCCCAGTGGAGAGAGCCTCAGCAGTGCCTGTCTCGATTTGATCACTCCGCTCCTGTTTGGCTTTTCTGTTTGGGCACCGCATTTCGATACCACCTTTCTGCTGAAACATGAAAAATGAATAAAAATGACCAAATTATTCTCCTTCTGACTTTCAGGCTGGGCTCACATTTTTCGCTCTACAACGCTTCCGTATGGGACAAGCTGGACTAGGGGGTGAAGATGTGGCCGCAGGAGGAACAACAGCGGGTGGAGATGCCACCGCTGGAGGCTATCCTGGAATGCCGGACCATGGAGCAGAGCAACAGCAATTCGGTGGTGGTGGCCCTACACAACAAACCATGGGTGGCAACCAGTACTACACACCGACATACTAGCACATGCGCGAAGTATCGCAATTCTCCAGAAGCCCCCATAGTTACTTATCAGCATAAAGACCGACTACGTCATTTCACGTCTCGTCCCAGAATGCAGGTTAACGAATATCTTCCTTGTGTGGATACAGACAATTACCAATCAATGTTGTCATTTTATATATCACATTCCACCTTCATGCCTAGCAACGCACGGTGATATTAGCCATGGAACAATCGTTCATACATTTTCGTTTCTGTACTCGTTCTTATCATTATTTTTTTCCAAAAGACTTGACATTCCAGCTTGTTACATAGCCACATTCCATTCTTCGGCCGGATGGACCGAATATGCATTTATGACTATTTTTTCTTGCTTTTCTTTGTCTTTGACTGTTAACCTTTATCGTGAGCTTCATAATTTCCGTCATCCATTTCTAGACTGAAGCCAAATATATTGAACCAAGACGTGAGTTCTACGGCCTCTCGATTGGAAATTAATATGGACAAAAAAATTGAATTGGCCTCACAGAGAGCCAAATCGCATACTAGCTTGAAGCTCGTCGATTTTCGGTACTGATAGGGGTCGGGGATATAATTATAATGTACCAAGTAGCAAATCTAAATACATACAGGAGTCCAGTAGCTTTTTTTAGTGCAACGAAAAATTTAAGAACAAGTAATTAAGTGGGTGAACTACACGATGAGAATTGATTAGGTGGCGTTGATCTGTGGCTATTGATCTGTTCGCCGAGCTTGGCATTGATTTGCAAACGTTTCGTCACCATTCGAGGAGACAACCGATAGCACACTGAAGATGTCTCCTCGAATGGTGACGAAACGTTTGCAAATCAATGCCAAGCTCGGCGAACAGATCAATAGCCACCTGATCAGTTGCCAACTAATGCACCCGAGCTAACAATAATCCAACACATTACCAAACTACACGATGTTTTTGAGAATAACCTCAAAACTGTGGGACGAAGAAGCATTAACCCAATCCACTAATCACACTTGTGAAGAACCACCTATTCAAATAAATGAGGATGACGCGGTTCTACTTCTTCGTCTCACTAGTTGTTGGCCAATTCAGACAGTGCCACTACTGATAATCCTGAGAAAAACAGCTTGAAACGTCAACGAGGTGCAACATGAATGATTATTTCTAAGCATAACTGGTGACTTCCTATAAAAAGGAAGACCTTCGTGAGGCCGACATTTTCGCGACCTTATCACATTTTCACATCCCTGAACAGTTTCGATCGATCACCTCCGGTGTGGAGATCACCTAGGAAACACCTCAGCAAATTAGTCAAACCACAGCTTCCGAAAAACTTCCCGTAAACTTAGTGCATTCATCCACAATAGCGGAGAGTATAGCTCTATTTATAGGTGCTTCTCTACAAGTTCTCCGTCAACTGAGTCCAGTTGTGATGTGAAGAGCTAAAAACAAAAAGTTCTGATTGATTTTTCCAGGAGGACCATGGCGGACAAGGTAAACTAGGGCTCCACCCAGGGTTTATTTTGTGAAATATTCCAATACTTTTAGGTGGGAGAACGACCTTCGCGCGGTGTGAGAAATCCGTTTTACAAAAGAATCATTGATGATCAATTTTTCGGATAGTACTTTTTGTCTTCACCGATACTATGCACTGTACGCCTACTGGTCATACCAAGTAGCCATATATAATCTATTTCCATATACGTCGAACACATGTAGGGGTGAACCGACACAATGAAGGGATTATGATGAAGCGGCGACGGGAAACGTTAAAATCTGATAATTTATTGCAAACTTTCGTACATATAATCGAAAATAAAAATGGTGCTCATGGAAGTAACACCATAGCAGTAATCAGTGATATGTATATTCACAGGAACATAGAACGTAGTGCTGCGCTTGCTGGCCATCAATACCTACTTACATGTTCGATAGACGTCCCAGACTAGTATGCTACCTGCAGCTCCCGCATTTGCCGGAGCTGCACTAACCAACCAGTCCGATCCCGGGGTGAAGAAACAACTTCGAATAGTGGTCGACTTTTGATCAATCATTGGACCGTGTGGTTTGGTTACTGTTGTCGCAGCCCAATCGCCGAGTAGTTCACCCTCGTCCAGGCCACCCAAACTTGTTAGCCAACCCAAGCAACGTACTGTGGGTTTCTGCTTGACACAGCATTCCACCAGTCTAATTTGGCCATCCCACTGACCAACAGCCACAAGGCGACCGTCTTGACGCCATGACAGACTAGAAACACCCACGTTTGCACAGGGGATCTGATTTGAAATTGGTCGGAGCACAGGATTACCACAATCAGTTTCGTCGAAAACGAGCTGAACGAAAAGTAAATCCATCTGAGACGGTTCATCTGCACTTCCTCCGCTTGGTCCACCTAGAGCCACCAACAATTTAAGTTTATCTTCTTTCTGTAGTATAGCTGGGATGGGTTGTAAGGACATAGCCATAATTGGTATCCCTGTACCCAAACAGTCATTCAGCCGAGCAAGCACCACACCATCCCCAAACAACAAGAGTTGTCCGGCTTCGTTAGCAACTAGGACGAGGCATGACTGATTCCATTTTGCATTCGGATGCCTAGGTATTCCCTGCAAAGCCATGCACATACCCGAATTGGATGATCCGATGGTGGCAGATCCAACATCACCGGCTTCAGTGTGTACAACAATAACATTCTTAGGAAGTTCGACAACCTCAACAGCGCAACCACTCTCTCGAGTCGAGCTATCCTCCTCTTCGCCTCCACGGGGTACATGAGCCAAATAGTACGCAGTACTGGAATCAAGATCACCGGTAGGAGCCACACCGGGCCAGAAACTCATGTGGCAAAAAGTTACGTCGCATGTAGGTATCTGAGTGAATGCTGAAAAATGGATGGAAAATGTGCTGAGAGGGAGAGCACTGGTGAGAATTTGACGGGACGTACAAAGGTCAGAATAAGGTTTGAACCGACGTTAAGGGTCAATTAATAAGAGCTTGTAAAATATGCCCCAGGAAAGAGTTACTGATTCGAAAGCTTGCAGCAACAACAAACAGACAACTCACTTTAGAGAATCGAACATGGTTACACACCCTACGAAACCACCAATGAGCAGGTTACGATGACCAATAGGAAACCAACACAGTACTCACGGACAATGAGCTCGCAATAAAATGATACGGAGAAAGTTGCTCCAGGGGCAAACAGATGAAAATTACAGGATGAGATTCGAAACCCCACCATTTTTCGTGTATATACTGAAGGGTGCCTTTGAGTTGTGAGTGGCTGTTTGTTACCTTGCCCAACTTCACCCACGCAATCGTTCCACGTGGCCTGGTATTGGTCATTTCTTTGAATGAAGAGTTCTCAAAGGAAGGCTCAAATGAATTGGTGGGATATTTCCCCCCAAAATGAAGAAAATAAATTGTTCAACTGTTGCACCCTTTCGGCGCCTAACTGCCATGCCACCTGAAGGTTGCACGAGGGCTGGGATACGGCAAGGTTGCCCAAGCCTAGACAGGGGAAGTCGAAAGGCAGAGGTCGGGTTCGAACCACGGACCTTGTGGCCAGTAAATTCGCGATCTAACCACTTGACCATCTCGCCCTCCCTCCCCCATGCATATTTTGACTGAGTTTAGTAGCATGTGTGCTAAAATATAATTAGAAAAAGGAGTAAAGAACCGTACAGCTTTCCAGCATAAGTTTCCCTTACAAGGAAGATAAACAAGTGTCGAAACTTAAAACCCCATTAATACTTCAAAGAGGTAAATGAATAACTGGCAGTAGTTTGTTACCAGATACGTACACTGATGCAAGAAAGACTGACACCGGGTGGTACGGGAAACCCAATAGATTTTTCTTCAAAGCTTAAGCATACAAACGTAAACGATGCCCCGCTTGGTTCTATCTAAGGAACGAAATCGAAAAAGTTTCATCTGAACTAGAAGACAGAGGATTCAGTGAAAGTAATCTGAGAGTGGAAATACAACGAGAAGGCTCTAGTAAACGGGTAAAGCAACCATCAACTGTTTGCAGCCGCGTGGTCGGAGCGCTCCTTCCAATCAGTAGTAGGCTGCGAGTTCTGTTTTTGTACCCAGTGCATACACTTTACTTGCCGTACATACATGCACAGTTTTTCCCATAAACGGTCTAAAATCCCCTCACTCGTCTCCACATACAAGTGGATGACTGAAAAAATAGGACAGATGACAATACTCAGTAGGTCCAGGTTCAAACCATTCATATGGCGAGACAAAACGTGAACAGCTTGGGATTCAGTGTGCCAACGTTAAGTAAAAAGCATGAAATATACGACGAAACCGTATTGCACATGCTACGAAAGCATCAAGGACGAAGAGGTGTTTACTGGGTGGCGAAAAATTGGCCGAACGAGTACAGGCAGGACGCAAGTGCTCCAAAGGGGGTAAAAGATATCGCTTAACGCTGACTTGGTTCTGTTTGCACGCGCATTAGAAATATTACAATGACGAGTAAAATGAGGATTTACAGTGATAAATTCAACAGATCATAAGATAAAAATATTGTCGATTGCCTGTCAGTGGCAGCAGGTGAATTTATTCGCTGAACTGAAACGCCAGGATGTTGACGACAATAAAATTTAATGCCTGTTGCTTAGGCTGGCTAGCATACCAGGAGGCGTTAACCACAAAGCCGATCAAGTATAATACACGAACGTATTCAGCCGGAATGCGTACATTACTCACTGCCCCTGGCGCGTTACATGGGGCGTTAGTTTCGCAGCTTACGGGTGACTGTGTATTGGAAACTTATCCAAGCTCGACTCCATCTGAAGCAAATCTGTCAGGACTGGCTTAAGTTGTTTCTCGGCAACAGCTCAGCTAAGACGATAAAGTGAAGGATTGAAAACAATCACAGGTTAGAAAAAAACCACTTGCCTTGTGTTGGTGGATGTTTGGGACATCCTTGTCCTAATTCGTACGGTGGTATTGTCCAAAACCGGATGTAGCCATCCCGCCCCTGGGAGATGAGAATCTCATCAGGCCAAAAGTGAAGGCAAGTCACATGAGTGTCTGGGTGCCCAATCCACTGAATGGCTGGTCTGCGTTTTTCGAAGATCCACATAACAATCCATCCGTTCAAGTGACCCGACACAATCCGTGTAAATCCTTCACCTACGACCGGCAGACAGATGAGTGACGTACATGGACCAACGTGGCTGTCGGACCTCGGAATCAATAGGTACGCAGGTTCCTTAAAGGGAAGGGAAATGCATAAACAAGTGACGACGCATGGAACGACGAGGAACCCAGATTCAGATACCGTAACACTTTTCACAGTTGAATGTCTAAAACGGGCAATCAGACAAAGGAGATGATTCAATATCTCACCGAGGCTGGAACGAACAATCGTGATGGAAAAATATGCGAATACGTCTGTGCTCTATAAAGTGGCTGGAATCCCACATCCACAAACACACAAAAGTTGATGGTCAGGATCTAAAAATCAGTCGGGTTCTTCAGATTAATCGCGTGTACCCACTGATCTTGTATTGTAGCATCAATGATGAGATATGCACGGTGTGGAACAATACATTTCCTGAATTAGGATTAAGGAGTGGGATAAATAAGATGAAAACTGACAGATATGCCCCAGCAGTAAACCCGGCGATGTCCTTGCACCTAAGGTGTTGCTTTCACTGCCTAAAGCTTACCCGCAGTATAGAAGAATGTGGTTCAAACTTAAGAGAACCTAGTACGGTATCCCATATGTGGCTAACAACTCGGCTCTCAGATGAAGGGCAGGGCAGCCTCAACCCCTGCATAAACCACATAAGTTTGCCGTAAAGATACACCGACTAATCGGACAGGCTGACTGAGATGCACCTGCCTTCTAGTGTAGATAGCCTTTCTTCACGTGAGCATATAGCTCTGTCTACACCGACTAAACAGTGAGGACTAACGACGTACACGTGCAAAATGATATTCCGGACTGACTGTCCGACGTCATGAGATGAAAGTCACATTTTAACAGCCTTGCGGCGAAGTCATGAGTAACGACACAACAAGGACTATAACAAGGTACGTATAAGTCCCTTGGATACCTTTTTAATGAAGTTAGACGGCGTTTCACTGACATCGTGCCTGATACGATAACGCTCATTAGGTTGATGGAAGCTGAATACGACCCCCGAATATGAGTCACCAGGAATATTTGGTCCCCGAATTTCCATTATCCTCATTTCGTACGTGAAGTTAATGGGTCATTTGCAAAGTAAAACCGTTTTAACATGAGACTCAAGTGGGTCGCTCGGTGATGATATTCATCGACCGAATGTGCTGCGTAAAGACTGCCTCACGCCTTTGTTGGGACGATATTTAAGACAAAAAAGGATAATATCTAAAGAGCTACCAATGGCTTCTCCCTTTTCAAACTAAGCTAGCTCCGCAATTTCCGTCAGCCTGATTTTATGCCTGAACATCACGCATCGGCACGTCACTCCTTCATTGCACGAGGATATTTCATTATACTTTGCAGTGAACCTTGCGAAGCAAAATGCATACAACGTAGTGCAAGACCTGTCCGGGAGAGTAGAGTGCTGCAGATGCACTTGCAATCACTATTATTCCCAAACATTTCGCATGACATCAAACAACGAAAGCAAAATGTTCATTTACCAGTTACTGTTGCCTGTCCGCTACAACAGATTAGAACTGACACTTCTCAAACTGGCGCAAAAACAGACCCAACTGATCATCGTAACACCAGATGATTTGTACTGACCTTCAATCTTCCAGTCATGTTACATCATTAAATTTCAAAGATTCCTGCTTTAAAGTAGCGGTGTCGGAGATCTGCAAGAGGCTCCGGATCATTGAGGGGCAAAAAGGAGAAAGAGCTTTTTCCCATCCGTGTCCTGATGAAGAATACATAGACAACAGAAGGAAAGTATGGCTACTTACGACTAGTTACTCTTCGACAGCCCAAGACTGAGTTTCGCCCTTTTTTTAATGCGACCTTTGTCAGAAAAAAAGGTGAGACATTTTCAGAAGAACATACAAAGGGGGGTTTTGTAACAAGATTCTCGGAAATGTTTTCAGCTTTTGGTACTATTCGGATACAAGAAACGAGATTTTAAACTAGGACTGATTATGAGCTTTTGTGTGCCCGAGAACCGACCTATGGATCGGTGCCGAGAGACCCATTATGAACTAGAATCACTACACCTCTGGTTCACAGCCCCTGAGGAACGTGTAGGAGGGGAAATCTCGATCTACCAACTGCTAAATACATAAGGACCGGGACAATTAGCCTCAAACCTGGGCGAAAAAGGATAAACCTATTTGTCAAATAATCCCAATTCCGAGCTTTCGGGCGGCAAGATGGAGACTGGTAGGTGTACAGTATTCAGGGTCAGCAATACCAAACCAACAGTAATGCCCCTTTATTATTTAACCTTACGGCAGGAAGGGGATAATCATACTGTAATCAATCCATGATAGGCACTTATGCCAGCTTCATGGTACCTTGGAAGCCGCATCTAGTTTCTTTTGGTCTAAGGAATAAGACTTTAAGGCTCGACTGACGGGAGTGTATAGTCAACTCAGATAAGTAAATATAGATGCTCAAGACGAGTCAGTGGGCAAAATACCAGCCACCAAATGGAATATTCTGAGTTCGAACCTGCCCGCCGCTTCTCGATTGCTCCTGTCTGGGCTTGGACAAACTAGCTAAACCTCAGCCCCCACGCATGTTTTAGGTTGCACGACAAACTTGTAGTATGTGTTAGGGTGTGGTACAGCTAACTGATCTTGTCCTTCAGTTTCGATGAGTGTGAAAAGAAAAATCCCGAAACCACCTGCGAGGAAATCGTCACACAAAGACCATGACGCTATGTCCTTGGACATACATTTCACACTTTGAATGGACTAGTTGAAATAAGATTCGATGAACTCGACTCAAGATAATACGACCAACACCGTACACACATAATGAATGCCTCAATTCGTGAAGTTTCCTGTGATCATGACTAATAACCCTGTAGACCAATCGTGAACTAACAATTTATTCACTTATCCTTAGTTTCAGTCGAGCTTCCTGCATCAACAATTCTCATGGATAGATTATATTGTCTGACCATAAACAACACGTCTGTCTCGGGAACTGGCCACTGGCAAAAAACAACTCTAAATACTGTTTGGTCTTTCCAGCTACAAATCGATCGGCAAATTGTCCATGAAAATGGTGATCATAGATAACCGGTCAACTTGTTGTGGAGCAATCTGTGAAAACAATGTTTCTCGGAAGAGCGATTCATCAAGAGCATAAAATATAAGGACGTGTAACCTACCACTTGTGAATGAAATAAAATAGTTGTTGCAAGATTAGACTCTATGACTTGTGTTATTGCCAGCAGTCCTGTCGTAATCTACCCCCTCTCTGTCAGCCTATGTGCGAGTATTACCGGCAGATATATTCGTCATTAACCCACGTGCTTCATTCTCAGAGGCTTCACAATCACCACAATGTTAAACACATTAACTAGACGTGTTAGTCCACACTATGATGTAAACAGTTTTCTATCACTTGGCTGTTTGCCTTTGTCCAGCTTTTATCGGCGTGAGGAAACCCCTAACGAAGCCCGAACCTTCCAACCTGAACTGTTGGCCAGCCAATACAATACGTGCAAGCCTGTTTAAAAAGCATTCAACTGGTTGAACTTGTTCGGATTATAATGAGACAGCTTCTTAACCTGGTTTTGCCCAGGATGAGGAAGCAACTTACGTCCATAGTAGTAATGAACTGTCCAGTACTTCGTCTGATGCAATAGTTCAACAAAATGAAGAAAAATTTAGCTACGCAGTGCGATCAAGTGGAGTGACCCGCTTTAACAAAAACATGATGAATTTATGTTTCTTCAACACGCGACCCATAGATGGAATGGTTTGCTTTGTCTGGCATTGTCAGTGTGCATACAACCTCGGACGGCAACGCCCAAGCTGATCGGTAGCCCGTCCGTGTGATAGTCTGGTGCAGATATCTGCCGTGAAACTTCGACACTAGAGCACGGACAAAAGGGACAGTTTCTGGTATATGGTACGTGTCAGTCTGATATTTTCTGATCAGATGACATCTCACCTTCAATCAGTCTAAAACTCCGGGTTTCATCTCGAACACTTTACCAGGCCTTAGGTTGACTCTATTTCAGCTGACGAAGAGGAAATAACAACCGTTTCAGAAGGGCTTAGCAAACAATCAGTAGTTTTTAATTGGGTAATGTTTCGCTTTTGACACAGAAGCTTCATTAGATCAATAAGCGGACCACCAAGTTGGCCCGGCTTTAAGGCAGACGGAGAACCCGTCAGGGTGAACATCATCAGTGCTGAACATCAGTTGAAGGATCTCGTCGGTTGGTCCTAAGTGAAATGACTGTACTAAGGTCTATAGAAGACAGACGGTCATGGAACTTGAGACCAGAATAGGATAGCATAGAAAGATAAAAAGGTTACCGAAAAAAGCAGATGAATATAGAGCTTTACTCAAAGACTCAGCAATGGCGGGACATGTACTGGACACGGTATACAAAACATGAGAATGTTGACGTTTTGAGGGGAGGACTACGGTTGACCTCATGGAGACTGATGGCCGAGGCGGTGGACATGGTCAAGCATTTTAGTGGAAGAATAGAAGGCTGACAAGCGCGTAGTAAACGGCTTTAGATCAGTCGAGCTGACGAGTGGCGGCGTTTGACCATCAGAGGAAGGAGCCATCAAAAAGTAGCTTAGGTCTGAAGTGTACCTAATCTCACCCACCCACCTTCAACTAAATTGTCGTAGCACTTAAAAGCCCACACAGACCAACAAAATTTACCGGCGGCAACCAAGCTGAATCATCAATTGAAACACCCTGAACAGGAAGATCAAGGAACCACACCCGATCGAGAATAATTTGAAATCCTCCCAACCGTAAGATTTAGGCAACCACATTAACTGATAAGACCCTTTAACTGACATTTCATCACTGATGCAATATGTTAATCTGAAGAGGTCTTCCCGATTGGTTCTCCGTCTTCCTTAAAACCTGACCAACCTGGTGACCTGTTCACTTGGCCTGAAGCTTTTGTATCAAAAACGAAGTGTTGCACAGTTAAAAGCTCTCGCGTGTTTAACAGGCCTTTCTGAAACGACGATGTCTCAATCGGTCTGAAACTTTTTCAAATCGGAAAAAATAAAAATTTTCAGAAAGGATGTTCGACAATCGTTTCCACGATTCTCATAGCTTCTGCATGATTTCCAGTTTGCTGCTGCCTATAGTTGTCTTCCATTTCCATAATCAACGGTTTAATCATTGCTTCAGGCATTCAGTAATATCTACGTTTTGTGTCGCTAGGATTAGTGGCCAACTCAACACACACGCATGCTACTACCGTCCAAATGAAACTCAGTTATCATTCAATCACGTACCGAAAGCAATGAACCGTGCCATGACGAATTGGTCTAGCGGTAAATTCGTTCGACGATAGATCACGACACATTGGCCTATTACGGTAACCACCCTTGATAGGGCGTCAGTAGTGGACCACCACAGCTTAGTTGCGACGCAGATCCTCGGCTGTGAGTAGTGCTTCCAATGAGGTCATCTGTTGTAGTGATGAAGCTAACGCTCTCGTCCAGGGAGGTACTACCTTCCAGCTTATACCCAGTCTAAGTCCCTGGTTTGGAGTGTCGGTCAACCAAGCAATCGGCCATAAGTAGAGACTTCAAATACCAGCTCTGAGCTTCCAATCCTGTGCCCAACGCGGCTTAAATCAGGACAGTAACTAAGTCCATCACTACCTACCTTTATCTACCTTTACCGAAACATTTGGCAACAACAACTCGGCTCGTCTCCTCATTAAAATTGAAGTTTGCGCTTGCATCCACATATCCTAACCTGCCAGCGACTTGTTCGCACTTGATTCGTCGGGATTAAAATTTTCAGCTTCCTGTCATGTTCGCCATGAGCAAACATATTTATTGACTTCGTTCCCTATCTCGGGAGTGTCCACTGTAAACGCATCCTTTAGCCACACTCTATTGAACTCTATATTTTAGCAGTCGTTTCGCTGAATGACTCGCGTACCCAACCGCGTCTGATTGAACTGATCGCAAGGCAGAACGCTTACTATCACCAGTGGCTCTTTTCGACCTGTAGCTTTTGGTATTGGCGTACCGAACCATTGGGGAGACCCCATAAACCCACCACCAAAACCCGCCTCACCACCTCTGATCGCATCCTCATCCACATCCACTTGCACAATCTCCGCGTCATTCAGGTAGTTCTGGTGACGCTCTCTCACGACATGTTTCACTTCACATCTCTTGGAGTGTGGTCTTTTGAATGGCCCATTCAAATTCGCCGAAAGATGCCCGGAATCTCTCAGCAATGACCTGCGCCTGCTTACACCCAATCTCTTTAGACCCAGAGAAAACATTCGTTCCCTGAGTGGTTTAACTACGTGTCTCCGTCTTTGTAGTAGTTTGTATGAACGTTGGCCTGGTGACCATTCCCCTGCGATTCGCCTTAAACACGTCTGCCCTCACTTAATGCAAAGCTACTATAGACAGACAGGAAAGTGAATCCAACCAAATATCAAATGAATTTGTAGAGAGCGATCTTTTCTAGAGCGTCGCCAAAGCAGCCGGTTGTGACGTTTGAATTCCGTTCCCTCTCAGACCTTATTCTAATGCCGTCCTCAAATCTATTCAAAAGAAAGTTAATATCTTTGGGAATAATCACGGTCAGAACGCTTTCCAAACCTTGATGTGTCTGTTTACTCTTCGGCATAAAACCGTTCAGCTGTAACACCCTTTCGGTGCCTAACTGCCATACCACACAAAGGAGGCACGAGGGCTGGGATACTGACATGTCGCCCAAGCCTAGACAGGGGAAGTCAAGAGGCAGAAGTTGGTTTCAAACCACGAACCTTCCGACCGATAAATCCTCGTTCTAACCACTTGGTCCATCTTGCCGCCTCTTCGGCATACACACTAAAACACCTGTGGTTTTCACATACAGCATCTACTAATCTCTCCTTTACCTCAGTATGTCAGAAATTCCCAGTCCTCATGATACTCCGGTATGCTATTTCAGAAACCTGCATCCCGAATGGTCCCCTAATTGGCTAGTCTTTTCCGTGTGTATGTATTAGTATGGATATTCTGAAAAGTTCCCACCAGAAATCATTTGTCGAGATCACGTTCAAAGTTCCCCGGTGTGCTTACTGAGCATATTTAGACGTAACTTCACTGCATTCGCTTTCAGCTACATTGCATAAGCAACGACCAATAAGACAGACACACATCCCTCTCTCTGGAATTCTTCGCAGTGGTCAGTTAATACGAAATCAAATCAACTCATCCAACTCCAGTAGGGATCACATGTTCAGCGAAACAGTCCCCAAAGGTCTGATGATTACGGGAAATTCAGGCCAGAACAACAGGCTTCCGTGAAAAATAGAGAAAAAGATGAATAAAAATAGGTTTATTTAGCATCACCATACGAGATCGAACAAGTTAACTGTGCAAGAAGTCGGCAAAATATCGTAGATGTGAAGACAGCGCAATTATCACAGCCAGACAGCACCATGCCGCAAATGGATGCGCAGAATAAATCACTCTGCCTCTGATTTCGCACCTGCGACGTTCACAAAAGGACGTGATTCTTTCTTCCCGAACGGAAAACTGCTTTTGCCTGAAAACGAAGGAAAGAGAACATGACATTCGGGGCGTGCAAACATGTAACTGTGATGTTCGCTCCAAAAACCAATGTCGCTGCCTCAGAACCAGTACAGGAGTCTGTCGGCAGGAGAGAACTCGCAGTGGAGTAGTACGCAGGCGACCACTTAGAATTGAATCAGCCGTTTCAAGGCAAACGATGCTTACTAAAATAAGATGGCCGTGGTACATGAGGTGCATCCCCAGTCTTTCCAAGAGACAATTCGTTTGCACTCCAAAACTAGCTGAGTAAATTATCAGTGGACGGGTGATGACGTGAGTAGCCAAAACAAGAACAGTTTCGGCCGAACTCTGTTTCGCAAGATATTCATGTTGAAGATCCAGAAGCAGGTCACACTCAGCCTTTTCCAGTACCAAACACGCTACCAAAGCTCAAGCTGTATCTTGACAAAATACTGCTTAAAAAGATTATCACAGCTGAAGATAATTCATCATTTTGTGCTGCGTCTTACGGTATGTATGGTTCCAAATGATATTGAGCCGTCAAATTAGCGAGAAAGCTGTCCCATAAATGGCGTTCTGAAGCGTGAAGCAAAATGTGTTCCGGTGTCCTTCACTTCTTCCAGAATGACCTCTTATACAAGCCAATTTTCCTTCTGTGTGACCAGTTGTGCTGCTATCAGCGACGGAAACAGGGATCAGGATTACATCAAACCTTACTACACGCAAATGCGAGTATTCAGACGGGGCTCATCTGCTGAGGCAGGTTGTTGTCTTACACACCCCAGGGAAGTCGACAAATAGATAGCAATTGCAATCTGATCGCTCTAAGAGAAGGCCACTCTGATTTTCAAGTCTTCAAGATGAAAAGTGAACGAGAGGTAAACGTGTTGCGCTTATTTTCGTTCAGCCAATGAGGAACCAGGTTTTTGTGGAAATCATAGATGCTAACCTTCGGCTGCATTCGCCTAATTCTATATTTCTCTTAGTTAACGTGATTAATGTTGTCCCAGTTCAGTTCGGTAAATTTACCAATAACTACTTTGACAAGGCGGAGTAGTTAGGGCCATCACAATGAAGAACGCGGCAACGATGGGAAGATATCACCTTAAATGGACTAGCCTGCAGCAGTTCCAAGCACATGTTGTTGGATAGGAGGTTTCAGGTTCAACATTCTTGAATAGGCCTGAATTCACAGAAATGGATCGCTCTAATACAAATGTGTCCACTGAGCTGGCTAAGCTCAGCAAGCAAACCAACGACTAACCATACGTCCCAATCTACCAACATTCTCCTCCATAGCATAGCTGCTTGAGTTCTGTCGCTGTCAGTATGAGTATGCCAGAGGGTACAAATGGACCTCAAAACCACAATTCCAAGACGATACACGTTCCACATACACGTGAATAATCAACAGTGTGGATCTTCCGAAACGGAACAAGGCCACTAAACATAAGCAGACACAAACAAGACACAATGATGTCTACCGGCTCATCAGTGTTAGTGCATTCCTGGAAATCAGACGACAGTGCTCTCGTTTTTTAGAGAGCATGAAACGCAAGTACTACTAGAAAAGCCGACCGAGGTTAACTATGCGTTACGCCCACAAAGTGCGCAGTTAAGCTGCAGGACGTACAGTCTTTGAATATGCCTCTAATAATAAAGGGAGTGACAATGGGGGTTATGGAACACTATACGTATCTTCGAAGTTGCATTACCTCTGATGGTAGCATGTGTGAAGTTGTGCGTCAAAAGGGTATACGCCTGATTCTAAACGGGTGACTATATCAGATTGCAGTGCGAGTTGTACAGCGGCGAGACTTGACCACTCCGGGCGAAGGATCTGAGATCTCTATGCGTTACGCCCACAAAGTGCGCAGTTAAGCTGCAGGACGTACAGTCTTTGAATATGCCTCTAATAATAAAGGGAGTGACAATGGGGGTTATGGAACACTATACGTATCTTCGAAGTTGCATTACCTCTGATGGTAGCATGTGTGAAGTTGTGCGTCAAAAGGGTATACGCCTGATTCTAAACGGGTGACTATATCAGATTGCAGTGCGAGTTGTACAGCGGCGAGACTTGACCACTCCGGGCGAAAGATCTGAGATCTCATCAGGTCTTTGACCACCGATGTCTCAGAAATAGTTGGAATAGTCTGGAGCCAGTGAATCCGCAATGAAGTGATCAGGTCAATGGCAGAAGGCTCTTCACTCACATAATGTACCTGCAAGCTACGGTGGCTGAGCTATGGGTGACGCATATCGAGTTACCACCTGCCAAAACAAGCGTTGTTTTCCGTTCCTAATTCGCAGTGGCGGAAACTTAGAGGTGCACAGAATATGACATAGCAGATGGGAATGAAAGATGAAATGAAATGTTTGGGTACCATTGGTGCTGATCACCTTTCAGGATAAGATCCGTGTGACGCACCCTGTGCTTGCCGAGAGACACTGAGTGATCTGGCGTCTAACCGATATCAGTGGCGTCCATCCTGTCGGTTTCTATCCAGACTGTACGACTGGGTGCTGGAGTTGTGGGTACGTCGGGTGTGATAGACTAGCCCTAGTTTCCCCTCCAATTTTTTTCACTTTCCTTTCCATTATAAGGCTTTATTGAAATAAATAGGCATGGTTGTATGACAGTGAAACACAGATGTTCCCACCTGGTGTCGCTGTAAATGATGATGATGTTTTCCTTCCATTCGGCAAATACTGGCGATTTATGAAGGATTAAGCGAAGTTTTGAGATCCCTGTCCCAGGCTTTTCAGCACATGTTGAACGAGCACGACATGAAGCAGTAATTTAATGAAAAGAAAATTCGGCCATGATTTGAATAAATCTGGAGATCTACCTGACCTACATTGATGGAATTTCGCAGTCATCAGCAACTTGAGTAGCGCCTCAATCACAATGTTTATTTTAAAAAGCTATAAGGTGGGAAACAGATAACAGGCTGGGACGAAACCTGATTACAGTCTAAGTCCTCCTGAGGCGACTGCACTGACGGCAGACTTAGATATACTGGATAGAAGCAGACTGCACAAACGCCCTTGCAACATGTTAGAAACCATTCCTCACATCTGAAATAAATCCAGGGCACGAGGACACCATCCTGTAAGACAAAATGCCCCAGCAGTATCTGAACTTTTCAAAATCTCCTCTAAGCTGTCATGCTGTCATATATTGTCTTTGCGACATTCTGAAGAGGTCACACAGAACAACACAATTATCGTCACTGAAGAATGTTGAACAACCAAATATCCACTTCTGCTTCCCTGTTCACAGCACCAGGAACACCCTCGCGACCTTGCTGATCAACAAACTCAAGAAGCCTCTGAAAGAAAAGAGCGAATATCCTTGTCCGAAACCGTCCTTGTATAGAAGGTCCTGAAGAAATCCCCGTACGCACTTACAAGTAGGTGAACACAAGGAATCGGCTGTGTTCTTCAACGAGAAGGGGCCAATCGCCCGTGCCAAATGTACTCGTCAAGGCACAGAATACCAAGACTGTGGGTGAACTGTATACAAGGCCCTGTCATAACGCCTGATACATCGCGGAGATTTGTTCGCCTAACATGCACCTGATCAAAAATCGGTTTGTCGCTCAGGGGTCGAGATCTGACGGACCACCTGAAGACGATTTTATTGATGCGTTGTTGGCATTTCGGGGCCCATAAACTTCATTTTCAACCAACACCGACAAAGTTCAGTGCCTTAACCATAGGAATATAGTCAGTCGTCTAGGGTGCCTCCAACGATCTCTATGCTGGTATTCTCATCAGATAGCACATCAAGTAAACACATCCGTGCCATAATGTTCATTAACGTCATCTTTGGTCACGTGATTATGGTTACTTTGCTATGGATTACTTTGCTACTGCATCATTCGACGCGGCTTCATTGCATGCGTGAGTGAACGTCTATCAACACAACGCAAGGAGTTCGAGGCTGTAGTGGCCCTGTAACTCGGTAATGTGAATAATATGAATGCTGAACATTCTCTGGAGTTCAGTTAAGCGAGCCTGGTACACAAGAAGTCGGTGCTGAGGGGACCCTCTTATCTATCGCAACTTATCGAACAAAAGCCGATTAAACTATGGCAGCTATTCATACCTCTTATATCCAACGATTGGTGCCGAGTAACACACAAAACAAACCCCGAGGTAATCTCCATATCTAGTCAGCCAGTGGAACGTTAAGCATGTCTGGTTTATTTGTAGGGCCATAACTGACCCGGGAAGTTTAGCCGATGAAAACGGTCTACAGGTTAAACAAGCCTATCTTTTGCTGGACACTCTTGAGCTTAAGGTGTTCATTCTGAGACAGAAAAGAACAAGAACAAAGAAAGTTGTCGATGCATACAAATTCCTCCCCGGTGTAAGATGGTTGTACTTAGGTAAATCACCTAAAAATTCAGTAGGACTGTGGTGAAAGGCATTGAATATTGCTATACACCAAAAACATTGAGAATTATCTGGGGTGCACTCCCCGATATATTCACCGCACCAGGACAAGATAAATTAGCCAGTAACCCAAAAAAGATTCTGTCGTGTTCTGATGGTGACCCTTGTTCATTCTACGAAATATAGGCCTGATACGAAAACCAATCCTACAAAAAACCTACCAGGTGACTGAGTCACGCGTGAAACAATCCAAGTGAGCACGTTGCATAACGCCTGTCGATCAAGAACCGAAGTTTCAAAAAGGTGCACTAGACAAACGAAAAAAGTGGGAAAGGATTAAAATGTGATATAAATATAACGCCTTGAAGAATTCTAGGGTGAAAAAATTGTGCGCTTTCATGGGGGAAAACTCAAACTACTCCTCTGAGTTGACAACTTTAGAGAGTCAAGTCACCTCTAATCTCGGACGAGCTGAACAAGCTCGTACTGAGGCTTTAGCAGTATGGGTGATAGTTCTACAAAACGATGGGAAAGTTATCGTTCTTTTCGCTTTCAAGGCACTAAAAAATAGTCAACAACGTAAAAAATAAGTGGTCCCAGTAGAATTCTGTGCGCTGTGACGGATTCCCTGGAGGCAGCTTTTGCTGCTAGTCAATCTCACGCAGACTCGCACTCAGGAGAGATATCTGTAGGTACATTTCACAGCTGAACTATCAGTACTGACGCAGATGACAGGACTGTGACAAGCAGCAAATGAAACAGAAGGAAGCACGGTCTGGTTCTAAATCATCAGTTCGGATACAACATATGTAGGAACATAGGATCAGTACTAACGGACCTTAGAAATTCGGAGATGCAGACATTGTGAAGATCACTGTGAGGGATTGAGGTAATAGATCAACACATTTAAATGAACCTAGAGAACAAACAAAATGGGAAGCGGAGGGAACCGGGGACATGAAAAATTAGCAGGGGTCATCGAGCAGAAACCAGTGAATACTTACGAATTTACATAAAAATACCAAACAGAAAAGAGGGTTAAAACCCACTATGGTCATCAGGCACGTGCCGCGCCGCAACGGCTCACAGTTCTAAGTGCGCTCCACACTGTTTGCCATCAGAAACACAGAGGTACAGGTCACAAGGCAGTTATTTACAGTGTGGAACGACCATGGGCACGCCCTGGATGGAGTAGCCTAGGACGATGTTCATTGGGGTGAACTTGATCACGTTGCCCTAGACAAAGTGGGTAACGCGTGTAAAACCCATTCTGACTGACCACGTTCAACTAAACCAACACTCCCCTATCAGGACACAGTTTCAATGGCAACAGACATAAACAGTGGACAGGAGACATACATAGAGCTGGTAGGGATGAGAAGCGAGCAACCATTTGAGTGGCCGTCTTATAAATCATCAGTCGAAGTTCGCACTGGATATAATGAAGAAACAGCAACAAGTGTAAAAAAACATGGGCAGATCAGATAATTTAGAAGTACCCTGAGATAACGTAGTTTGAACACTTTGGTTTTCGTGCGAAATGAACACAGCCCTTAGAGCATCTGCTCCGTAAGTATGAATCGGAAAGATTGGTCAGAATTCCACGGCTACAGCCGTTTCGTTTCTTCGGTATTCTTGCATTCCTGACTTTGGAAAACCAAAGTGGGTAATTATTTTCCACACTCCCCCGTTTTTACGCACCTATGTTACTCGCCTCACAGTGACACACAACGCTTCTTAAGTGTGAAATATCGTAGAGTTCGCTGGCCATTAAACACGACATGCAGTATCAGTCAGCTCGAAATAAAAATGGACAATAAAGAGGTATCTGTTCAGGAGAACTCTTAGCCAAAAACAATATACTGGAAAATGGTCATAGGATGGAAATGTAGTAAGCAGTCATTCGTTGTAGGGTGATTTGGTCAAATTCAGCAGGCACTGGGGAGAAAGACGACAGCGGCACTGGCGACGCAGTTTGTTTACGTTAGCCATGTACAAGAGAGCGCGTCATCCAATGTTTGATCCTGGCTGACGTTTTGAGGTTGGTACATGACTTCTACCGACGGAGAGTTTCAATTGTAAGCACGAACAGGACTGTGGCTAAGGCAATCCAGTCACACTTTAAAGATGCTTTCTATACTTAGAACTGTATCTATGTAGAGGGAAATTCGACTTGCATTAGTCATCATCAAAGCCAAGCTTATGAAACGCTGATCGGATAGGAATTTGCGTCTCTTTCTCCTCGAGACCACTGTGACCTTAAGAATCCCGTCCGTCAATCTAGGGATATTTGATTCACTCTAGACACCGGGTTAAAAGTGGTTCGGCGCAATTCAAAGATGCTGTTGTGAATGATGAATAAAACTCGAGAGCGTAACCGCTCATCTATGGCAACCTTTCGGGGCACAGTTGTCATGCACAATCAAAAAAGCACAAGAGCTACCCACACAGGAGTAATCAAAACACCAAAGTTGGGTTCGAGACAAGGACCTTCCAATAATTAGCTTCCCGCCTTAACCGCCGAACGCTAAGAGATTTGATCATCGTAGAGTCTAAACTAACCACCTCAAAGTGACGGTTTGGTTAAAGTTCCATCGCTGATAAGCTAAGAGAGCGAAAGGAGGTTCATATTGTTGGCCGATTCTGGTTGTTTCTATCCAGCTCTAAGCGTAAAGCTTATGTTTATTTTGTCACATCAGACAATCGTTCAAATGAGATCAAGAAGGCTGTCACATGACAAGCATTTCAACCAAATCGCTTATCTATTATCCTGCTGCCATCTGGATCGCTATCAGCTTTTCAGACGAGACATGAATAGCCAGCCGGGACTCCATCCATTCTGCTCTATTAAGCTACTGACTCGAAAAAAGCTTTGTGCGCCCGAAGGTGAATTTTCAGCAAAAGAAACTACAACGGCGTCATAGAATCGTATTAAAAATCCGGAAATATAGAGTAAACAATTACGAGATTTTGCCTGCCCCACGACCCTCATTAGGCCGCAGTCTCAAACTGTTTACCACAGAAACGCCACCACAGGTATACGACCATGGAAAAGAACGCAGCATTAGAAAAGGTCTTAGTAAAAATTAACAGTAATTCTGATTCTAACATAGCGTTGAAGAGGTGAGGGAAATCAGAGCGATCCCCCAAGGAAGAGTAAGAATAAGTATTACTGCGCTGCACCTAAGAACGGGCAGTGTGCAATCCCAGAAAATACAAATCTCAGAAAATACAAAACCTCAGAAAATACAAAAACGAAACAGTGGTTTCATCACGGGAGCAGTATTTAGTAGAAGAAGCGTACTACGCTGGTGTGGGAAGCGCAGAGGACCTAAGTCTGACAGCGAAAAACAGTTGCAGTTAGTTTTGAGTAAAAAAGGGAGGAAACAATACCGATAAAATGTTGATCTAAAGCTGTCATCTTGCGGTGGTGGCCGGGCTTCAGTGATGCAAAGAGACCGTTGGATACACTGGCTGGAAATTCGTTTCATCAAATACAATCATTTCAAAAAGGCCAAAGGGGAGCACTCAAACCAAGAGCAGTTAAACCCCAGTTAAGCCCCAGACGACCAGCATGTCCGTATTCATGGAAGCAGTGCTGCAGCCTTTCCCGAAGAAGGACGAGTTAGAGAAGCTTAGCCCTAGAAATCGCACACATCGATCATCTAACGGCTGACCGCAACCGTCAGTCAGTCAAAATAGTCAAAACTAAAGAGCTTGGTGCTGCTGAAAAGACACTAGATGTGTGCAGCCTTGTCAAGCGTGAGATAGTAATGTCTTACTTCCTGTGCCACGGGTTAGATTAGACTGCTGAGCCCCCTTCCCAAGAAAAACCATACTATCCGCTATCTCGTGGGTCAGACATTTGAGTCGAAGCCTCCGGTGAGGTACCTCAACTAAACCCCCATCCTCAACTTGCGCAACCTGGAAAGATAATTGCTGCACAGATGCTTGTCCACCGACGCCTGTCCTCCAAACCTTTCGCACTATACAAGCAAACGTTGCTGGTTATCTAACCTATGTGTCTTAGGTACGACGCTCCCCAATAACAATAAACGAAATAAGTGCCAAATCCTTGAGATCCTTTCTACATAGGAGGTTTCAAAATCCGTACTCTATGTCAAATTAGCAAACAGGTAATGCTTTTCGAGACCTTACACCACCCCCCCCCCTTGAAATTGATGTACGCTGTGTCATCGAAACAAGAATACAAGACCTAAGCGTGGTTATCCATATCAAAATGCCAAATACGAACTCAGCTCTTTTACGTTCCACCATCACTGTGTCCGACGATCCAGAAGCGATGACTCGGCGCGATTAGCCCCGGAGCTGAACGTTGCTTTCTGGAGTGGATTCCAGCGAACAGTCGTTTTTGCGCCGTTCAGTTATCCAGTTCAACCACGCTCAGCGACATAAAAAACGGTGCCTGGTCACAGTACCTACATATGCCTAAACGGACTGTAGTTCTGATATTGGGAAGGTCGATTTCTATCAAGAGTAACCCAGGTTTGTTCGTCAAGCAAGAAACACTAACAATGGGACCCTTGCGGGCAAAATGGGTCTCCAATTCCATTGTCTGAGCTCCTTAGAAGCATATCTGGGTAGTTAGTTCGGAGCTGATTTTCGTCGCACAGACGGCCAACAGGATACAAGAGGATGCATCAACGATTGTTTCAAACCCCATCAGATTCTCGAACAGCAACGCTGCTTCCAGCAACCAACATTAATGGTCTTCCTTGATTTGAAATCTGCCTCCCACTCTTTGGTCCGTCAGTCACTATGGCAGCGCCTACGGGACAAATATGTCCCACATCAAGTTTTGATGCTCTTTAAGGTACTATACCCAACCCTCTCTGAAGGTTTACGGGAAGCTCTCGCCTGAGTTCACTACATCAAATGATGTCAGGTAAGGTCGTCCACTTTCGCCTTCCCTCTTCAACTTCGTCATTAATACGGTTATGGAAGACTCGCTACCAGCATCTAATGCCTGTGGGATAGAAGCGCTCTCAGGGTATTCGCTCACAGATATTGAGTATGTAGATGACATACCTCCTGTTGGATACGACGCTGTCGTAAAGCGACTAACATTAGTCTAAATAATTCTGCGTCATGGTGGGGTGTACGCTTCACACCGGCAAAGTGTAAAGTGCTGTTGCAAGACTGGATAGGCGCGAACCCCAACTGCTGGTTTGAGAATGAGCCGACTGAAGAAGATAAATTTGTCTACCTGGGCAGCTCTATCAATTATAGTGGTCCAACCAAGGACGATATTTCCATCCAGGTTGGGGAGTCCAGAGCAACTTTTGTGAACCTGAATCATACGTGAAATAGGCGTGTTATCAGCTTATCTGTCAAGGGTCAAGTTTACAGTGTTGTGGGTCAGAAACCTGGCCACCGCGCTGAGGACGTCAAAATGTTCTGCGTTTGACCATTGGTGTCTTCGGAGCATTGCCCGAGGCTGGTGTGAACACCAGGTCAGTAATGATGAAGTACGCCGAATGGTTTTCAGAAGAAACAACTTATCCAAGACAGATGAACCGATCACACTTTATAAATTGCGCTGGCTTGGTTCGTATCCCAGTTGACCAACTTCCTCGAGAACACCTTTCCGCACAACCACATGAAGGGTGGAAACGAGCCAGGGTAGGTCAAGAAGTGACTTTGCAACGAAGTGTGAAAGTTATTAACAGCAAACTCAACTCCGCTGGTCAATACCGCATCCCTGGATAGGGGCCACGAGAGGGGACAAATCAATTGTTAGAGATATTGTCAGACATGGTCCAGTTATGCCCTTATTGGCGCTCATGCATCCGAGCTGTCGCCATCAATCCATAGCCCCTCTCCCAATCTCTCCAGACATCCCTGTATCTACGTATCAATTATGTCAGCTATCGCCTCCAGAGCGTAACTACCTACCCCGACCTTCCTAAATCATCGGCGAAAGATGTGGTAGGTCTGCCCACTGTACGGCAATACACACTTTTTCACAGCTGAAGATGATGGAAGTGGCCAAGTATTCTGCTGCGGAGGGTCCTGAAAATGGAAATTCATTGACCGTGAGATAGAATCCCATTGGGCAGGCGAGTGTACTGCCGTACTTAAGTGAGGGAGAACTAAACACTAAAAAGCCGGTCACCACATTGTTTGTCATGCAACAATCGTACATCATAGAGAACGACTGCGAAGGAATAATGCCATGCTGCTTACTAAGACAGAACACCGTTGGCATTCACTCCCGCCGGAATCGCTAAGAACGGTAGCTTTGAGACTTTACATAAGTTTTTAGGCACGTTTCTAATAAACGCCAGCAACGGTTCAGGCATGTCACAAAACCACTGCCTACGGCGACGAGTGCTCAGGCATTTTATAGAAGCAACGGCCGACGATGATGAGCGTTCACCCAACACTAATCAGACAGTTTAGATCAAAGTAGAAAGTGCGCTTTGGATATTGTGAGGTCTCTAGTAACTTTTACACTCGATTGTGCGCAAAAAAGCTCTTGTATCTCTTGTTGGTGAGACTTCTTTCGACATTAGAGCATTGGATCGGGGACAACAGTTAATTACAAAAGTTGCCATGCCTTAACTACAGTTCCAATAGTGAACACAGCTAAAACAAACTAAAACAATTGAAATGGCATCTTGACGGTCGCGTTTCTCGATTTCTAACACATCAAACATGCGCAGTGACCCGGTTTCCAGGAGAGCGATCCCACATGGTTAAAAGTTAGAGATGGCTAAGTGGTTGAGGCGCAAACTTGCTAAAGGCCCATGGTTCGAACCCAACCCCTGCTTCCCGACTGCTCTTGTCTAAGCTCAGAAAACCTGATAGTAGCTCAGTCCTTGTGCTTCCTTTGGATGAGGTAGCAGCTAGGCATTGAAAGGTTGCTACAGTTGAACGATTTTTATTTTCATTTACAGGATTAATATGGACTGATTGTCCGGGGGAACCTCCTAATGGAGTAGGTGCTTTTAACTTTGATATGCACAATCATGCACATTCATTGCAGCCATCAGCAAACATACCTCGTTCCCGCTGGGCCCAATCACTTAGTGAGGCGGAGTCTAGGCTAGGGTCTTTCGGTTTATCAGCCTTGTTCCCACAGAAGACAAAGAAGATCTCACGCTTTCCACGACATTCTTCCAGCTGAAATACAACAGAATATGTACTGTGTAGGTCGGAATTTACCTGACGTTTAAGCATCTGGACGGCATGCAAAGTACGTACATCGCCAATATCATAGACGAGGATAAATACGTCGGCACAATTTACAAAATGACGTTCGATTTTAGCTTTCCCACCCAGTTCATAAATGCGAACCTTTTCTTTGGTTCCACGATCCGTTTCCACCACTGCATTATATGTATCTTCATAGGTTGGGAACTAGACGGGGAAGACGGAGAAAACAAAAAAATGAACAAACAAATTTCAGAACAAGTATCCCTGAATAAAGTGCAGGAACTTGGTGCATATTGTTTACTGCATCTTGTTGTGGTTGTATGAAACAATTTTCGGAATGATGAACTGACATACAAAGAGTGACTACTGTCACCTCAAGGGAGAATTATCAGTGTGACACATTTCCTAGAAATCAACGTATGAGCATCGTAGCTGTGAGCAGATGAGCGGTTTACCACAAAGAGAATGGGTGGAAAAGGAACGATATGACAGACTGGATATTACTCCGAAGTTAACGAAATCGAACAACATGATCAATTAAATTCCATTTATCAGCTATACGCCGTGTACCATAGGTATATTGGTTCCAAATGCTACAGTTCTGATCAGCGGAAAGTTGGACATTGTGGAACATGCAGGCAAGCATCGGAGGTGAAGGTATGTTCAGTTAGTTCGGAAACTGGGTAGCTACGAATTGAAGGCGATAGCTTTGATGCAAGGGCGTCACTGACTGTGCGGTTGGACAATTTCCGTTAGTGTTAATAACCATTTGTGAGCTGAGCCCCGGGGTTCCCATCCATGGAGATGACAGTTGTTGACGCGACTCAGTTTACTAGTTGGTGTTTTCACACTTCGTTGTCAGGTCAAACATTGTCCGCCTCATGGTCCCTTCCACTTATCACAGGCTTGGGGAATAACGGGATGCATCTAACCGATTTCACATTATTACAAACCTGACCCCGAAGCCATACCGTTGTTCCAAGACCTCAGCCTTAGTCGCTGAAGCACCTGGCAGTGAAGAGTCAACCTCGTCTGTCACAGTAGTTAAGCGATAGTGGGAAGCATTAATTTTTACTACCGATCTGCAGGTTTCGACTGGTCACCGTGAGACTGGGAATGCATTGATAAGCAAGAGTTGAGTTTCATGTGGACAATGAGCTGTCTCCGATGGGCCACATGTGCTCGAGTAACTCGAAGGCACGTTAGCCCACGTAGTTCCTGCAGGGCACAGAGCAGTTTTGCGCCGCTAGGGTGTTACAGATAACGACTGTATTTTTCTAAAAACACATAAGAGAACAAAAGGCGGGCATCCTCTTCTGGACACTGCAGGTCCCAGTGTGGAGCAGAAACCGGAAATGCAGCTCGGGCCATACCAGTATAGGTACAAAGTTAAAACTTCATCTTACCGCTCAGTACAAATTACTATCCATAAAACAGATCAAACTGATTCACTCTGAAGACTCTAAAAAGCGTCCCCAAATTTCAGATGCGATCATCAGCCATATCCCGACGCCATGAAGACCTGATCTCTGAAAAGGCCATCAATTTCTCCCGGTCAGATATCCAGGAACGTATGGCCAACGCTTCCGAATTGCGCAGCTTATGGACCCAGGCAAGCCCTTCAGCCCGAAAAGATCGTATTTGTCACCGATTAGAAAGGGCTTTTAGCAAGAAGACAACGGTAACCTTCAACTAACAACGGACTATGAGAAGGAAACCAAAAAAGTGGACTGGTTGTTGATTAGATGGCTGCTGATCTGTTCACCGAGCTTGGCAATTGGATTGCAAACGTTTCGTCACCACACGAGGAGACATCATCATCTAAAAAATCTTGGTTGGGACTAAAAAAAATCAACGCACTATTCAACCCCCCCCCCTTCAAATCGGAATCTGCCTGAGCGAACACAGAGACAATCCATCAACTCATATGCCAAGTACCTCACCGGGCCAAAGTAGTTGGTTTAGCCGAGTTAATCCATATGTTGGGCACTTTGAAACCGTTAATCTAATTTTCCAATGACACAAAGGCAATGGTTCCAATATACCGACAGTCAAAGAAAAGCAGTCTTCTCTTCTTCTGCAAAAAGCAACATATGCCGTACATCATACTCCACGCCCTCAAGGAACACACCAATGTCACATCGACCCCAAAGATAACCGGCCTGGAAAACATATCAAACTTTAGCGACTCCTCCCTCAATTATCTGAGTCAAATGTACCCGTTAAAAATAAGATAGTAGTTATCAGCCTTCTAAATCTGTGGCGTGTTAACTAGTAGTCAACACGTCCAAGGCCACAACGACACTGCCTGATTTACATGGCTACCTCTTACGAGCGCTGATAAGCCTGCAGAGCATAACACGTAAGCAGCCGAGAAGCGGCTTTGATTGGACCGAAACCCGGTGGCTCCTAAACGTAGATCAAACATGTTTTTGCTACGAATGGCAACAGCTGCTACTCCTCAGGTCCTTCCATTATCATCCAGATAATCTGTATGCTATGTTAGGCTGTGTACAAACCATTCAATTCCACAATCGAACGAGGAAGGAAGCCAGTCAGGACCGAATGCTTTGCCCTATTCAGAAATCTGACTACACTGTCGGAGCGGAAACGTTCATGCTTTGACCGTCGTGCTGGGCAGTGGAGGTCAGCCAAACTGATATCTATCCATTTGGATTAATCGTGATGGTAACGATTTGGGAATAGGCGGATCCCGGCACAAGTTGCATGATCTCGTAGGGTAGTGTCACGGCTATGTCAAAGAAAAGGGGACGTTTAGTGTACGCCTGTTTTCGGTTTCCAGTGACCAAATTTATCAACATCCGCTTTTGTCTCAAAGTGCACACGGCAATGATTCTACATTTCACTCATTGTGGTGCGTTACATGCCTGTCGTTCGTTTAACGCTGTGGACAGAAGTTAGCAGTCAACTATGACGATCGCGCTTCGCATTCTTCCTGGTATTTCGGTGAACGTTAGTTACAACTGAGTCGACCGCCCAATCAGAACACGATCACGCGAGTTGAATTAGCGACGCGTCCTACCAGGCCCACAACCGCTGTAAATTTTTGCGTCTTCTCAAAATTAAAAACATTGAATTAGATCAAAAGATGCACCGCGCAATGAATGATGCCCGAAATAAGTAGCAAATGCAAAGGTGGAACAAGACACAGGACAGTGGATATAAAATACCAGCATGCTTACAAAGTCACTGGGTCCCTTAGAAGTGTAATTCCCATATATGCATTGCTCAATCATCGATGTCTTCCCCACAGCACTTGGACCGGATACGACCAGTCGATATAATTTACCCATTCTGGAGCAGTGGAACTGCGTCGCACTACAAGCGAGCTATGACCGAAGTCACCTAGTGAAGATGCTGAAACAGATAAGCACTTGATTGATTACAATAAAAAACAAACATGAATAACGAAGACAAAAAGGTTTCAGATGATAGGGCACTAGCCTCTCCGAGTCACAGAATAAAAAGCGGAGCAATACCAGAAACAATAAAAATTGCGGAAGTTAGGGACACACGACGTGTCTAAAGATTGCCTTATAAAGCAAAAAATGCAATAACGCCATCGAAAACCATAAATATCGAAGGTGTAAACATCGTCCTGCGGATGAAGAGCAAAGGTCTAAGAATCGCCTTCTATAATATCAACATCACCATCGACAGCATATCAGCGCTTTACGATGGCGTCATATCCAAGAAGAGCTACGTCGTCTGAGTACTCGGCATATGTGGGCGAATGCCCTGGGAGCGTTCCGATCCTAGGGGAAGCACCCGAAGGAGGAACCTACGAGTATTAGATGCTAGTAGTGAGTCTTCCATAGCCGTATCAATGACGAAGTTGAAGAGGAAAGGCAAAAGTGGACGGCCTCACCTGACACCACTTGGTGTAGTGAACTCAAGCGAGAATTTCCCGTGGACCTACACACTTCAGCGGGAGTTAACTTACTGCGAATTAAGGAAGGTCAATAGCAGCAAGCAGGATTCCGGTCGAGAAGAGGTTGTGTGAACCATATGTGCAGGTCGGTCACGTGTTGGAGTAACGGCAAGTGTATGGTAACCCCACATTCTTTATGTTCCTTGACTTCAAGAGTGCATCCAATTCTACCAAATTATTAGTCCACGCTTGCCCAACAGGGCGTGGGCATGCATTGCCTATAAACGCGTAAGAGTGGACGATCAGTGGTGCCAAACAGCGGTGCACACTCCCTGTTTTTCATCGTTGACAAAGCAATGATGCGAGCAGTAGATGGCGTCCAAACCCCACAAAAAACTTGTCGAAATGAAATATGCAGAGTTTTAAAGGCACGAGTGGAAAAGCCAACCGAGGTCATTCAGTACTTTTTGCAAACTAACTGCTATGATACGCTGCAGGACGTACGGACTTCCAAAATATTTGTTAGATTTAAATGTGAAGTAGTGGGAGCTGCGGAACCCACCTTTCGTCTAAGATGACTTCTCATGTTTCTGACGAGCCCTAGTGTGGGGACTATTTCCGTTTCAGATATACGCCAATGAGCCTCCAAATGTTCGTCCATGGCCACGTTTACCTTGTGCGGACGGCTTGAAATCCTGGGGCTCCTACGCCAGCGCCGTCAACATGTAGATCGACGCCGCAAAGCAATCGTCGCCGACTGCTGCCCCCCTCTGAATGCGGAAACATGTGTTCACATGTCGTTCGGAGGAGGCTCCGCAAACACCTTGGTCATACATGGTGAAAATGAACCAGAAGCTATCACGAGGACAGACAACAAAAAGGGTTTAGCTACCTCGATCTCTTCAAACGTATATGTCCCTCTGGCTTCACCATGAAAAATAGGCTCAAAAGACATTCTTCGTTCTACGTACGACTCGGCGCACCTTCCTCCGCATTACTCGCATAGACTTCCAAATACTCTATGGTGCCCGCTTCAGACCGCTTTTTGAATATACCAACCAAGTTGTCTGGTCAGGACGCGAGAAAGACGTAACCCTCTTTGAGGGAGTTCAAAGAGCTGCTACTAAAGTGGTTGCCGGCCATAAATCCGCGGGATATAAAACGCGTCTGGCGGTGCTTGACTTATTCCCCCTGAAGTATAGCCACCTCCGATGAGACCCAATACCTACTTATGCTCTGTTTGGCAAGGCTTGGCCAACAGATTTTTCACCGTTGACCCAACTAACACGCTGGAGACATGGTAAGAAGATTTTCAAGCTCAGAGCGCACAGCTTTGTTAGGCAACAGCTTTTCTCATTTCGGGCAGTTGGCGTGTGGAATAACCTTCCTGCATCTATAACCCATTTCAAAGCACTGTTATACGCTTTCTGGTTGAGTCCTCGCACCTACTGCCCCGCGCTGAGAACCTAAAGAGTTGTGCTTCACCCTTTTTCGTTTTTGCCGTTCAGGTGAACGGAAGCCGCTGAACGACTAGAACAAACGCGACCCGGGAAGCTTGAACAAAAGCCTCGATCCTGTGTATCAATCAATGAATACGTGAATTAACTTCGATGGTAACGGTGGTCTCCGCAGCAACTTGACTGGCGGAGACCTAGAGGAGGACACAAATTGATACGATAGACGGGAATGGATGATGTTACGAACAGTTCGGGGTGATGATCGCCTTCCGGGATGGGGTCAACATGTGACGACTTGCCCATAGTGGCCCAACATGTCTCCCGGTCCTCGGATCACGGATTAATGGCTGATAAACAAGATCGAGGCTTCTGCTCAAGTTTCCCGGGTCGGTCTTGTTCTTGTCGTTCAGCGGCTGTCGTTCACCTGAAAGGCACAAGTAAAAAAGGATGTAGCACTGCTCTTTATGTTCTCAGCGTGGAATAGTATGCTGGCCAGCGCGAGGATTCGCATAAATAAATGTCTAGTAGTGCTTTGAGCTGGGTTCTAGAAGGAGCGTGGACAACCGTCGCAGGAAGGTCATTCCACGCAGCTACCAACACAAATGAGAGAACATTTGCCTAATGAATGTGTGCTCTGAGCTTGGAAATTTTCTTACTATGTCCCCGCCGTGTGTCTGCTTGGTCAACGGTGGAAAACCTGTTTGCCAAGCCTTGTTCAAACAGGGCATAAGTAGGAATTAGGTCCCCTCTGAGGCGACGGTACTCCAGGGGAAAGAGATCAAGCATCGCGAGACGCATTTCGTAGTCCACGGATTTGAGGCCGGCAACCATTCTCGTAGCGGCCTGCTGGACACGTTCCATGAGGCTGACGTCTTTCGTGCGTCCTGAGTAGACAACTCGGTTGGTGTATTCCAGGAGCGGTCTGACGTAGGCCGCATAGAGTAGTTGGGAGTCTATGCGAGCAATACAGCAGGTGCGCCGAACCATCCGTAAAATGGTGAATGCCTCTTGGGTCGATTTCTTATGATGCAGTGAGAAGGACGAGTTTAATGAGAGCCAGATATCTAAATCCTTTTTGGCGTCTATCTTCATGATGTTTTCTGGTCACTTTTCACCATGCACAACAAAGACATTCGCTGAATCCCCCCAAACGACATATGGACGCATTTTTCATCATTCAGAGGAAGGTGCCAGTCCAACGACCGATGCTTTGCAGCGTCCACATCCGTTCGAAGGGCACTGGCATTGGAACTTCGGGATTTCAAGTCGTCCGCAAAAAGTAGACATGGACTTGCAAGAACATCTGGAAGGTCGTTGACGTAGATCAGAAACAGCAGTGGCCCCAGGATGGAGCCTTGAGGAACTCCGATGGAGACCGGTGCTAGAGAAGAGCAGGTCGAGCTTATTCTCACTGTGAATGATCTGTCTGATAGGAGCGCCTTGATCCAGTGAAGGGTTGTCCCTTGAATCCCGTAGGAATCGAGTTTGTGGAGCAGTGGGACGTGTGGGGCCCTATCAAATGCTTTTGAGAAGTCGAAAAATATGGCATCCGATATGAATCCTTCGTCCTTGACTTGGGTTAAACTGTCCATAAACACGAGCATGTTTGTCATGCAAGAACGGTTTCGGAGAAATCCGCGTTGAGTTGGAGATATCAGGTTGTTGGAAGTAAGGTGATCTAGGATAGCTCGCTTCAGAATGCGTTACATCACCTTGCGCGGCACGCTAGTGAGGCTTGTGAGCCTGTGGCTGCCAGGTGATATTCGGTCACCAGTTTTGTAGATTGGCGTGACAACCGCTTCCTTCCAAGCAGAGGGAAGGCGGCCTTCGCCAAGCGACTGACGAAACACCGGGTATAAATGATTTGCCAGTGCAGACGACGTTTCCTTCAGGATCCTTGGATGGACCTCGTCGAGCCCCAACGCGCAGAATGGGTTGAGATGACGAATGTCCTCCACCGTGAAGACCAAGTCGGTTAGAGGCTGTTCGTCGTTACGCCTTGACAAGAGTGGATGTGACGAGGACGCTGGGGCTGAATATAGACCTGCATAGTGTTCTCTGTAAACCTCAGATACCAGAAGACGCCGAATCCTTTTAGGCAGCCTGCGGCTCATCCGACTGCGTGCCGGTTTTTTTGGGACGAACATCGCGTCAACCTCGTGAACTTCCTGGGCAACGGTCCAATGTAAGTCTTCCACTAAAGCTGGTCCCGGATCAACCTGATCAAGAAAGACGCGCATTCCTGAGAAGTCTGCACGGTAGAAGTTTTGAAACCACGTTTGAGGTTCGAGATTTCTGGCCCAATAGCAGATGAAACCAAAGGCCAGCACATAGTGGTCACTATGTCCCAGTAGAGCGTTGATTATTGCCTGATCGACGAAGCGTCCTTCGCTGATGATCAAACCCAGGAGGGATGGTAGTTGGCCTGCGCGGTATCTGGTGGGTGCAACGACAAGCGCTCTGTTGTACGACTTCAAGCAGCGCCACTGCAAAAGGTCCACTTGATTTGACGCGCGGGAGCTCCATCCCGTTCTGCCCACTATGGTATACCAAAACGCACGGCAGTCAGTGCAGTATACGGCATCTGTCAGTTTGCTCGATCTATATGTGTGTATCGGTGATGGACAACCTTGCCTACTGGGCTTTGGCTCATGAGCTTTGTTTCTGTTTTCATCCACAGAAATTGTCGTAAACACCTGCCCTCGGAGAATCACTGTCCCCTGGTGCTTCCATAGCGTGCATACTACAGTCAGAGACATCCCTTTATGGAGAAGAAGGCAGATTACTGCAACTATATTCATGGATCATCACAGTATGTCCCACAAGGCTGTGAGGCGGCAAGTAGCACAGAACCGCAAATGCTCCATATAGATTGGCTGGCATTCTGACCAATCAATCACGGATTCACGGATTGATGCACAGGATCGAGGCTTTTGCCCAAGTTTCCCGGGTCGGTCTTGTTCTTGTCGTTCAGCGGCTGTCGTTCACCTGAAAGGCACAAGTAAAAAAGGATGTAGCACTGCTCTTTATG